ATAAATAAGACATAATATAAATTATATAAACGTTTAAATGTATACTTTTTTACTGTTTCTATAAGAAAAAAAGTGGAATAAGAAACCCAAATTCAACCATAGTGGAGACAATCATGACCCATATAATATCTGCCAACAGCCAGGTTCATGCATGGAGATGACATAACGCCGCACTAAGCCCATTATTATTTTTATTTAGTACTAGAAACCTTGCCTGCTCAACTGGGGATGACAATTATCTCAAAAACCTATAACATTTGGTGAAAATCCTAATCCTAAAAATAAAGATTTTAAGATTTTTTTTTTTGTAAAATTTTATGAGGAATTTCTTTTACTCCATGAAGACCCTGTAGAGATTCATATATAATAAATATATTTATTTATTTATATATTTTTATAAATATATTATTAATTAATTTTTGTTCACTCAATGCAATTGGTTAACTCAATCTAACTTAAATTGCTTAGCTTAATTCCTTTTCTAGATCTAATCTTTTCAAACCCAATTCAATAATTCAACCTGAACATGTATGGTAGTTCATGCTTTTTTCTTTTTTTATGAACGTGTTACTGAATCTATTAGACATGTATGGTAGTGTGTATTTGTTGCAATTGATTACTAAATATTATTTTGTTATATTATATATTAATATATTCACTTGTTTTAAATTTTATTTTTTTATTTATTAAAAAAATAAAATAAAATTTTATATATTTAATACTTAATAAAAATTTCAAATACTTACAAAGACCTATTATCCTTGGTAGGTATAAGTACAAAGGTCATTTTTTACCACTCACAAAAAATCTCCATCAAAATTCTCGTACACGTCCTTAACATGAATGAGGAAGGAGAGAAGGTGCCCACTATGTGGAAATCCGTTACCAACCCTATGCTCACCAACCACTCCCCTGAAAGTTTCTCAATTTTTTTATTACTCAACCATACAATGGAAAATGAAGGAGAAATTTTACCCTTTTTTTTTTAAAAAAAAAAGGGAGAGAAAGAAATTGAGATAGAAAAAAGGAGCATGTCCAAGATTGAAAATCATACATTAATTTCATTCTTTAAGTTATAATATAATGGAAGGTATCTTATCTCTCCCATCCATTCTACTGGCATAATGTGATTCAAACATGTAATCCAACTTTGAAAGCAACATGGATATGGTAGGCTACTGGCATAGGATTATGATTTTCAGACCACTGGTCAAATCAATTTCCAATTGCATAATAAGATATATAAGTGTCGACACCATTTACACTTCTAGCGGCGAATTCAACTTGGGATTTCATGGTAATTGACCTCAATACCTCATTAGTTCCTCAAAACACTTAAATAAATAATTAAATTATTAATAAAAATTTTACTACTGACCTCTATTTTTTTAATAAACTCAAGGTCCACTACAAATTATTTCCACACCGTGAACATGACTTAATATACACGAATTGTGTATATATATCAAATGCCTTTAATAATACTATGACTGTTCCCAGTCAATGAAGAGCAAATAAAAACAATAATGTCTGCCAAATGGGTCCAATTGATTTCATGACAAAAAGAAAAAACAAGTGGGACTTTATTGTTTGTTACGAAGCGAATACACATTTTCTCTTGGAATTCGTCGAACACGTACTATTCCCATCAAGGGAGACTCAACAAGACTTAGATCCGGAAAAAAAACAGTGGAAGACCCAGAAAGAACTGCTTCACTTAGCTAAACAAAACAGATTCATGCTTTTATTCATTAATTTCTATCCGATTTACAAGTATAGACCAAACCAATGATATAAAATAGAAATAATAATACACCCGATGAGTAGTTTCTTTTTTTTTTTTTTTTTCCTTTTTTTTCCTTTTATTGAGTTATGATCTGAGGAAGATCTGAGTCAATTTGGATAGAAGATCTACAAAGTGGGCAACTTGACTCAGTACTAAGCCACTGATCGACACACTCGGAATGATACAAATGTTGACATTGAGGCAATACCTTAACTTTGTCGCCGTCTTCAAATTTAACGAGGCAGATAGAGCAATCAGTCTCCGGTACGGCGGCATTGGTGACCAACGTGACGGGCAAGGCGCGTATGGCGGCTGGATCAAGCCCCCGTGGTTGTGGGCGAGGTGGGGTAGGCGCGTGGGACGTAACGGTGGGGTTATCCCGGTGGCAACGCCTGAACCAGCGCCAGTAGATGACGAGGAGGGAGAGCAGGAGAACGACAATGAAGAGAGCAATGAAGTAGTACAGCGTCTTTCCGTGGATCTCGAAGTGGATATCTTCGAGCTCAGGGAAGTGCCAGTGGAAAGCCTCTGATTCTTCTGATTCCTTTGATGATGCCATCGCTGGCTCATCAAATCAGTGGCAGCGAAAATGAATGGAAATTACAGAAAATAAGAGAGAAAGGGAAAGGTAGTGTTATGCAGTAACCAAATTTTCAACAGTAGGCACCAAGTCTGAGGATAGATATACATGGACGAGAAGCGCGTGGTGCACTGCTGTCCCACAATACAACTATGTTACGATTCTTCATATATATTTAAATATAAATTATACAAAATTTTGTCTCATTGTTTATATTAACCTAAATTATAAGAAGTTAGTCTTTCGAGCCAAGTGATTCTAGTCACGTTTGTAAAGGTTTATATCTTTTTTTTTAGGATAACGGTTTGAGCCGAACTCATGACAAAAATGTTCAAAAAAAAAATTAACCTAAATTATAAAATAAAAATTTTCTGATAAAATAAGATTTACAGTATCAAAGAACTCCACTACTTCATTTGATAGTGTTTTATAGTATCTACCAATCCAACTCCTTCTGATGGTATTTTACCGTTTTTATTAATTTAAATTGTAAAATACTTTTTTGAATTATATATTGCAATAAAATCATGCCCTGATGCTGATATCCCCAGGTAAATCTTGGGACATTAAATTATTAATGAGAAAATTAGAGAACTTAATCAAGAACAAATTTGCCATGTGTCGCAACTTTCCACATAAACAGCGTGGACGAAAGTCTCATCAACCGTCAACGAGAAAGTATATGAAAATAAGAAATTTTATATTTGAATTTAAATAACAATAATATTATAATTATAATATTTTATAAAATTATAAA